AAAAATTTGCATTATGGAGTAGGTCGATATGCTGTCGCCAATGTATATCTTATTATATATTATTAATATTAGAAATGTGAGTCTGTATGTATATTTTACTCAATCATATCAAAATGGCTGAAATGATCTGAATGAAATTTGGGCTAGGCATAGATTATGGTCTGGTCTATAAATAGGCTACAAATCCCACAAGCGAATGCGGGCGAAGCTGCGGGCTGAATCTAATAGCTATAGATAGAATAGGTTCGATGAATTAAACTTACCCAATACATTGAAAATATCTTCGTCCAAAATAACGGCAGCAATGACTGTAACAGCGGCTTTGATGTCCTCGTCCATCACCGATCTAATCATGAATCTGAAACGAATCAAATACACATTTATTAACAGACTTCAAAAAATGAGGATCTCAATTTAACCTGTATGTTTTCTTTTCGTTTATGTATATATTTGATAGGTCGACGTTTGACCTCTATCTCGCCTGGTGGTAAGCTATGATGCGGTCTACGATGGAGCACGTCGTCCCATAAGTAACCTATTCACTCGGGCCTTGAAGACGCCCAGGTTATACCCACTGAATAAAAGAATTCCACTCCTTAGCAGTACGCACGTGGAAGCTTGATGCGAAGCGCTTCGTACGTGTGGGTGGGACATCTACCATTTATGTATGTATATATGTGCGCGGTTACCTCGCGATTGGCTGAATCGATTTTGATGCGGTTATCATAAAAGTGTTTGTTACAGTTAGGAGAAGACTGCAAATAAACCATAAGCCGGCCATCAAAAGGCCGGTAATGCACTTGTAACGCCTCCAGAGCGCTTAATCTTGAAACCAATCTCAATGTCAATACATTTTTTTTCCGGTTTGATTCCCGCACGGAACAACACTTTGTGCGATCCACAAATTGTTGTTTCGGGTCTGGGTGTCATGTGTACGTCAACTTGTATGTTTGTAAACGCACCCACGACACAGGAGATAATCCTAGTGAGGGGCAACGTTTTAAAAAAAAAATTCAATCCAAGAAGATCTCAATATTTATTCAATGTTAAAACTATACACTCACAATCGTAGCTGTTAAAATAGCATTCAGAGTACGGAATATAAAGCTAAACTCAATACCATTTAGTTCATTCAATATCCACGCAATACGGATGCAATAGGCGCTAGTTTTGCAACTCAAGAATACGAAATTTAACAATATCAATGTCGATCGATCGGAATTAGATTCAAGAGGGTGGTGATTGCTTCCCATCAGGTGAACTGTCTAGTCGTTTTCCAGCTTAACTCAAAATAAAAAGAGATAAAAAGTATTGGATAAAAAGTATTCTGTGTTAGTCTCCTGGTTTTAAGCTATCTCCCCTCTAATTTCCAGCCACATCTATTCAGCCATTCTAGAGTTATAAATAGTGTAACTAGCACGACTGTTTTTATTTTTTGTATATACATTTATTTAAGTACTAGCTGAGCCGGCGAACTACGTACCGCCAAGATTATTTTTCTCACCTTTTAAACCTTCCCTAGACTCCCACGAACAATTTAAGACCAAAATTAGCCAAATCGGTTCAGCCATTCTCGAGTTTTAGCGAGACTAACGAACGGAAATTCATTTTTATTTATATAGATTTAAATATGTGTATTTATCTTTTACTACTAGTACTACTCGTGGTTCCATTAAACACATTGTATGAACTCAACATTGTGTACTATTATTGAACTATAATATAATAATGAGCTGAGAAAATAAGCTTAAAATGTACATACTGCTCAGAAGCTTGGTCAGTGAAAGTCCCCCAATCATGAACATAGCTTGTCCACACTGCCATTGTAATGCACTTCGGTAGAAACTATGTGAAACAATCACTAGCGTTATCAGTGCACGCAATAATTTGTGTAAACTCCCTCTCCCCCCTCCTATTGATCATACGCTTGACAGTGTCATTTTTATCGAAAATTTCACGAATTTCCGCAAATCGTAGGCCTTTTTGAACGTAATTGGAGGCTACCTATAATTTTATCGCTCAATAGATGGCGCTAAACGATATTAGAGACGCTCACATTAGCGCCATCTATGAGAAAGCGTAGTTACAAATATATCTATAATATATCCACCATTTTGTCTTAACTATGTTCTCGTCTGCGTATTGGATGCATTGCAATTTTAGGGCGTGGCACAGTGACATAAAATATATATGACTTTCTAGAAACGTCCAAAGATCTACGGGTCCGTTACTTTGTTTCATAATGTTAGAAACAGTTGGTAAGCGACGATGCGGTCTACGATGGAGCACGTCGGCCCATAAGCAACCTATTCACTCGGGCTTTGAAGACACCCAGGTTATACCCTTCAGGAAATACACACTCCGGCAAAGAATTCCACTCCTTAATATTCGGAAAGATTACACAAACTGAGAAATGATGAACCGGTTTTGTGCCATTCGGTCTGTAGTCGTGTTCTTTAATAACTTACAGTTTTTCCGGCAAAATTTAAAGGAAAATCACTTTTATTCACAATATGAATAAAAATTACATTTAGTCCCGGCATTTTCCAACTTAGAATCATTTCATTAGGTTCTAGATTGACAGTAGTTAATGCAATATCACTAAAAGCACTATTTAGTTTCACTAATTTGAACGTTTTACGTTTCATTGAGCCAAACGCCCGATGAGCGCTATCTATCGAAATGTACTGAGTTATGACCTAAAATGTTATCGTTCACAAACACTAGACTTCCTATCGCATAAAAATACTTACCTCTATATACTTAAATAAAATCAGCTATCATCATGATCAGCCCAGTCTAATCACTACATATTATAAAACAAAGTCGCTATCCGCCGTCTGTTTGTCCCTATGTATGCTTAGATCTTTAAAACTACGCAACGGATTTTGATGCGGTTTTCTTCTATACCTCTACATAGAGTGATTCTTAAGAAAGGTTTGTATGTATAATACATGCATAATATAATAGAGAAACACTGATAAATTTAGAGGTTTCTAATGTAATGTCGTAAATCAGCACGTTTTTTTGCGCTTATATTGCAAACGCTGGCTGTACCCTACGAGATAGACCAAAATAATGTACTACAGTATTGACCACCTTAAAAATTTCAACAAAAAAAGTCCACGATGGTATATGTCTATCTATTAGAGATAACCCACCATATAACCATTTTTTATCCTTGACTATCAATGGTGATTTCAAACTTATAATTAGAAATTATAAGCTCAGGTTTCCTCTCGATGTTTTCCACCAACCACATCAAAATCCGTTGCGTAGTTTCGAAGATTTAAGCATACAAAGGGACATAAGGACAGAGAAAGCGACATTGTTTTATACTATGTAGTGATTATGAGCCAATCTTTAACATCGAACTATATGACACTATTTTATCAAGGTCTCGTTTTTAAAGCTGCCTGACTCATTGGTCGAGTGGTCGCAAGTTCGACTACCGGGCAAGGGGTCTCGGCTTCGATTCACGAATCGTGCAAAGTATTACTGGGTTTTAAAAAATTCTTAGTGGTAGTACGGAGTTTGGAATTGTGCCCGGTATATGGCAATACTCTCACCCCCTATTACATGGGACTCATAATATAAATAGTTAAAAGTAGGTGTTACATTGCGCGGTGGCATTAAGTGCCGTAATGTGCACCTCTGCCCGCCCTTTCGTGGATAAAAGGCGTGACGTTATAAAAAAAAATGAAAAAAAATTATATAATCTGTTCACTGTCTGGAGCACACAATTTGGGTCATCTTTCAGAGGTATTTATAACTGTACAATTAAATAAAAAAAAACAATTTATATATTTTTTTTATTCGTTCCTTCACACAGAGATTTTCTCCTGTGTCGTGGGTGCGTTTACAAACATACAATTTCACACACACATGACACACATTAATAAAAATGTAGATATTATCACAATAATAGTTACATAATAAATAGAAAATTGTTAAATTATTTTATTGCTTAAAGTACTTGTATTCAGATTACAGGGATTTGTATTTATTTAATTTATTTATTTAACAAAAGTACAATTTTAGGATTAACATGTTGTTCTTATAATTATAGATCCTCGCCAAACATAACGTTTAACGGCGAGAAGCGCTCATTTCTTATTCTTACTAGCTAATTAAGTACTTTATTATATAACATTAAAAGAAAACTGAAATCAAAAAAAATAAACAAAAAATACACATTACAAAAGATAGAAATTAAAGAATGCATTGCCTATGCTCTCTTAAGCAATTCTCCCCTTAGCCTCTTCTTCAACATAAACAAACTCACCTTATTTTCCTCTCTCAATATATCCAATTTATTGAATATCTTTGGCACTATATATTTATTAGTTCTTTTACCATAGTAGTTTATTATTCTAGGTTTATTTAACATATGTTCTCTAGCCCTTCTGGTGTTATATTTATTCTCTATTATACATTTATATTCATTGCTATACTAATACTCTAATCCTATTAAATACTCAACCTTCTTATCTATGGGCAGTATTTTACACAGTGTGTAGTTGAGTTAACTCCCTAATTTGAGATTTTTCATGTCTGTAGATGTCATTCGTGATGTCATAAATATACTAGAGGTATATAAAGGCGGCAACGCATCTGTGACTCCTCTGGTGTTGCGGATGTCCATATGGGCGGCGCTGGGTGCTTACTCTTGAAACCAACCTCAATGTCAATACAATTTCAATCCAACAAAATTTCAATAATTATTCAATGTCAAAACTATACAACCCTTATCGTATCTCTTATAATAGCATTCAGAGTACGGAATGTAAAGCCAAACTCAATACCATTTAGTTTATTAAATACTAGCTTTTACCCGCGGCTTCGCTCGCGTCACAAATTGATAAAAGTAACCTATGTGACATATATCACTACACACAGCGCCATCTATACCAATACTTTTGTTTTCCCTCGGGAATTCATATCACATTTTACCGGGATAAAAAGTACCCTATTATTTAATCCGGACTTCTAACTTTACGTCTGCAAAAATTCAAAGCAATCGGTTTAGTAGTTACGGCGTGAAAGCGGAACAAACAAACAACAAACAAACTCACTTTCCAATTTATAATATTAGTAAAGATCCACGCAATACGGTTGCAATGGGCGCTAGTGTCGCAGTTCAAGAGTGTGAAATTTCACAATACCAATGTCGATCTATCGGAATTCAAGAGTAACTGAAGAGAGTACCTAATTCAAGAGTAACCCCCTTATCGCTTGCAATGATGTGATTAGTCTGCTCGATTCCATAAAAAATGAGTCTCTAGCGTGGCTTAAAACTAATCGAGTTCTTCGTTAAATAATTACGTGAATAAGCCGAAAAACATAATAAATAATTCTGTAACATATTTGTTACATGCGCTTTTTATTTAATACGTATAAATATAATAATATCAGTCTTATATTGATAGGCACAACCAATTGAGAAGGAATGAGAATATATCAGTTCAATCTTATGGTTTGATTTACTTATGACAACGTTGAATCAAAATTTCACACCGCGATAATTTTGGTTTTTTGCCGGATTAAGATAAAGATTTTTATTTTTTAGTGAGATTACTTAAACAGGCATATGTATAGCTGCTCTGCAATCAATGTACGGCCCGTCATCATTCTTAGTTGTCGCAAGAAAAACAGCTAAATATTATCCAGATTGCTTATTTTTAAAATCCTTTTTCTTCAACCTGCAATAGGGTAGACGACTAATTTTTATTTTAATGTCCGTCTGGTAGATTATTTTAAAATATTACACACGTATATTTTATTTTTTTACAGAAACGAATACTTTCGACGGTGTATTGATTTGAAATGTCGCGTAACGTCACTTTTATGTACATTTTATACGTAAAAATTACGTTTTAGCCCCCACTCCTAAACTTTGATTCGTTATATCTAAGTATCATATTATTATTATTATACCTCTACAATAAAATAAAAAAATACGTGTCTAATATTTTTTCATTACCTAGCTGACGGACTAATTAGATTTTTAATTTTCATACCCTGACATCATCCCTATTATTACTTGTGGACATAGCGGTTGCAGTTGGTTCTTTTTCCTTTTCTTCCTGATTGAGGAAATATATTAAATTTAATCGAGTTATATCTCACGGTGTAGGCAACTCTTATGTGAAAAACCTCCTTTGAAGCGCCATAAGAAAAATGGGGTAACGTAGTAATTTCACGTTCGCGATAAAATTTAAAATTCGAAGCCCTGCCAAAGCCTCGCTCGAGCGGGCTCCGCGCTCGCACCAACAGTTGCTGCCGAAACGTTGAGTGAGTGAACAATTTTCTCGGTTCTTGAATTGGTTGTCCATCCAGCATCATCCACATCCAGCCCTAATCTGTTACACACGGATAGAAGACAATAGTCAGAAATATCGAAAATCTGTATTAAAACTAAGCTTGAACGGAAATATCTATCCAGTTGTAGTGTTACTAAATTCAGAGTTCCACAGGGCAGTGTACTTGGTCCACTGCTAATTCTGCTATACATTAACGACCTACCCCATCAAATTTGTCAACCAATGACACTATTTGCTAACAATACCACCACAATAATAGAATGTTATAGTGACAAACACTATAAAAATCAAATTAACAACACACTGGAAACCATAGTACACTGGCTAAATAGGAACAATTTAGCCATTATTTTAGGAAATACCAAAGTCATGCATTTGTACCAAAGAATACCAAAGAATAGTAGTCACTAAGGTCAAAAAGTCGACACAACAGAAGTGGCCAAACTCTTAGGAGTGCATATCGACAACTTATTGGAAATATCACCCTAAAAATAGAAATATCATGTTGAAAATGTGTTCCAAAGACTTAGTAAATCCTCATATATGTACTTTATTACCTCTCAAACAAAGTTAATATAGATACATTATTCATGAATGAATGAATGTAGGTGATAAATGACACATAAGAAAGTTTAAGCATAAACTATATAAAGCTACAGCGTAAACTTATCTACCTCTACATAAATAAAAATGAATTTCCATTCATTAGATTCTCTAAAAGGGGTCTCTCTCGAGAACGGCTGAATCGATTTGGATAATTTTGATCTTGAAATGTTCATGGCAGTCCAGGGAAGGTTAAAATGTGAGAATTTTTTCTAAGGCAGAACGAAGTTTGCCGATTCAGCTGATTACAAAATATTTATGTGAAGGCTTTCACATTTCAAATTTCAATATTATTTTAGTCATTTTATACGTTACGAGTATTCTGTTGGAGTACCCTTTTAAAAAAATAAATAAGTTGTTTCGTTCTAAAGTATAGAATGAATAAGAAATTCTATGGGTCACTCTTTTTCAATCAAGTTCACAATATACAATTCTGTTCAGCTAGGCGATTCTGTAACTGTGAATTCGAACTTTCGAAGTAATCCGTCGTTAGTCGAGATTACTCTCCCAATCAATGACATGGCAGCCCGCCATCAAGTTAACTTCGATCTTTCGAATTAAAAGTTACAGAATAAGCGAATACAGGAAAAGCGAGTGGTTTTTTAATGGTGAAGTGACTAGAAGCATCCTGCTTACTGGCCCACTCGGCGCTTAAGAATAGTGTCTACGTCAAGTTTTGCTTTCGACATAGCAAGACAACATAATACATATTATAGGTAATAAACTAAAATTAAAAAGTTGCATTGTGCGATAACGCCATTGTACACTATAGTTACATTTTATTGTCCTATGTGTTTATGTCAATATAAATAAATAAACTAAAATTACAAAACGTAAAAGGATATAAACTAAATAATACAATGACGCTCGAATATTGAAAGGCTACTCAATTTATAGTTGTACTTATTGAAAAGAGGTAAATTTATAGGTGTCTTTATAAAACTAAGTTTCTAGATATTGCCACAGGTGGCGTTTTGGTTGTCTTTGTCATTCCTTTTCGTTCCTCCATTTTGATTTGTATTAGCTGTTGTTTTTCTGTTATAATAAATGTGTTGAAAGAAATCTTATTCAAATTATTTGAAACCACTCAATACCCGAATAGTACTTACATATCGTGCCATCTCTGTCATTTTAAACAGAACTATACTTGAGCGCGACTTAAAAGTTTATTTCAGCGCAAACATACTTTTTGTATTGTTATATCTAGTTTTTTCAAACGTTTGAGCAAAGTCTAAGATCCATTCAGAGAGCCAATTTTATATGATACGTAAATTAGACAATAGTAAGATTAAGTCTACTAGACATCGACTAGGTTTAGCGATATGTTGTACATATTTAAAAGAAAAAGGGACTTGCAGTCGCTTTTTTAAACGAACTTTATAATAGAATTTCATTTATTTATTTAAAATTTTCTATTAATTTTATTCCTTAATACTACTTCACAAAAATTTAAATAAAACAATATTTAAAAATACAAAAAATAGGAGCCGACCAGTAACGGGAGCATAGTTCAAGCTACCGGTGGTTAGGGCTCCAGAGACAGAAACCTCCTCACGATACGTGCCGTTTCTAGGAGAACTGCCTTCTGTATCAGGCCCTTGATTCATTCATCTAACGCCAGCCTCCTAAGATAGATGTCGAGGCTTTTAGGCATTAACCCATTGGCCGACACGACTATCGGCTCAGTGATAAGCGAATCCACACTTTATATGTCAACAACCTAGTGAGCCAAGTCAAGATGTTTTATTTGTTTATCTTTCTCAGCTTTCACGAGGTTCTTATCATGGGGAATGGTAACATCGATTATCATCATGCGGCGCACTTGTCGGTCTATCACCACTATGTCAGGTTTATTGGCTACAATAGTCCTGTCACTGATGATAGACCGGTCCCAGTACAATGTGATATGGTCATATTCCAGAACTGAGTCGGGCACATACTTGTAGTACGGTACCTCAGACTCAACAAGTTGATAGTGCAAAGCAAGTTGCTGATGTATAATCTTTGTTATCTGATTATGCCTATGCAAATATTCACTACTTATTTTATTTTTATTTTTTATTTTTACTAATAGAATTGTCTTTACCATTTACGGGATCACAGGGTCCCGGTCATTTGGGAGGCGTACGAGAGGCCGAAGCCAACTGCGCACAGGCCCTTTAGACAACTTTAATCTAAATGTAATGGACACATAAACCGGCGACTATCCCTATATGCACTATGGAAATGCACCCAAGGACAGTCCCCGGTTAGTGTAAAACTATTGTGGATAACGGAAAAAAAGGTAGGGCTATGGATGGGTTGCTGTGGACTGGTAAATTGGGAACTATGGATGACTATGGCACCTGCCGAAGCAATGTAATTAGTGCACGTAAAAATGGCAGACGGAGACTCGCCAACTCACCGACCGGGCCCCGGGAATGGTTGCTAGATATATAGCAACAGAGGGACAACGAGAATGTGAGTGGCTAAAGGGTTAAGAAACTACCACCGCTTTCTACTCAGATCATCTGCTCCAGCCGAAGCCTCTTGCATCCCTGGCCCACTCGCGACTTACGAATAGTTTCTTACCCTCGGAGCAGGATCACCGCTCTCGCGACTCCACTGGACGGCCAATGAAGGCAAGCCAGAGGTGGGAGGTCTATGCCTTGTCATCGTTCACTCCAGCCAGTCAGGCTAGGCAAGCCGGAGAAGAAGGAACGGTGACTTCTCCCTGAAGCACTCGGGATGATGGTAGCCCGCGGGATCGCTAATGCCCGTCACCCCGCCTCAGGGTGCCCTGCGGGCTTTTTATTTTTTATTTTTACTAATAGAATTTCCATATATTTATTTAAAATTCCTCTAAAGTTACATTTTAAATACTGCAGAATAAAATATAATATTTAAAAATATAAAAATAGGACTATTACTAATATAATTATTATTATAATATTTGTTCGCTTGTTGGAGTTGAACAGTTTCAATCTAAACGATACAAGACATGAGCCGATAATTAACCCGGTATACACTATGGACAGTGCACTTAAGGACAATCCTCGATTCATGCAGGTCTAATTGTACATTATACATTGTAAATAATACAAAAGTGGTTACAAATTGGGAATCGATAAGTAGACTTGTTAACTATGCAATTACAATGGCAGCGCGTTATATTAGTTTGTAATTTTATATGATATGTAAATTAAACAATGGTGACTGAAGAAGTTTATTGGACGTCGACCAGATATAGCGACATGTTGTGGTAAAGAGACAAGAATAAGATCAAGAAGAGAAGGTAGTGAATTCGGCTTGTAATGAGTTGGTCGCGATGATAGAATAGTTAAGCCACAGGATTCGGTAGTTGAATGAAAAGTTTTAGCTCTTCCTTTATTTGGGTTTAGGTAACATGTGTTAAAGTCGCCCATTATTATATGATGTTCGTAATTTCCAGAATGTTTTCTATACATTTTCTCGAAAGACGAGAAGAAATTAATTTTTTTCGATGGACTGTAATAGACAGCGAGTAATATCTTCGTGTTCTGAAAATCAATCCCTAAGAAGAGACACTCAAGAACTTTTATTTCTGAATTTTGGGATTTCTCAATAATGGCGAAAGTAATGTCCTCACGAAGGTAGATGGCAACACCACCGCCACGTTCGTATTTATCCTTCACGGTAACGACGCGGTCGTTCCTTATCAGTTTGTATCCAGGAAGTGAATATTTGGTGTTGTCATGATATGGCTTAAGCCATGTTTCGGAAACAAGGATGGCATGTATATTTTTACAGTCAAAACTAGTTGGCATATGCTCGAAATGGTTTGGAATACTTTGTGCGTTTATATGGACTGCATTAAAATTTTTAGGCAGCTGTGAGAACTGCGCATTAAGATGCTCGGAAAGTGTATCAGGGTTCAGAGACTCTTCTCTTACATCACACTCTCGCCTCATTATCAATTTTGCAGGATAATATTTTGTTGCATTTGCAGTTGCATTCTTACGGTACTTTAAGTATACTATTTCTTTATAATCTAATTTCTTCGCCGAGTTCTGTATTTTCTTTTCAATAAAAGCACCTCCGTTGAATTTTATTCTCAAATTTAACGCTGCGAGTGTCCTGGAAATGGACAGAAATATCATAGAAGTGAAGAATATATCCATATGTTATGTGGAAATTTGATGTGATGGCAGCATATGAATGTAACATCTTAAAAAAAAAGTGGGAGAGCCATGCTTCGGCACCAAGGGGCCGGCTCGACCGGAGTGATACCACGGCCCCACAGATCACCGACGTGAAACAACGCTTGAGTTGTGTTTCGTCGTGTGACTGAGGTTACCGGAGGCCCAATTACCCCCCTCCCTAGTCTCCCGAATCCCCAAATCCTCCACAATCCTCAAATTCCCAATTCCCAAAAGGCGGGTAACGCACTTGTAACGCCTTGGTGTTTCGGGTGTCCATGGGCGGCGCCGATTGCTTACCATAAGGGATATTTTTTTATTTATATAATACATACACCTACAACATAAAGGACATATATAAAATTCAAGTACAAGGTATCACTTATTCATATTGGAATTTCGTCCTGTGGACTTGTGGCAGGAAAGTAAGACAAGACACAGAGTGTAATACCAAACAGAAAATTGACCGAGAATATAGGTACACTTAAATCTATACAGTATAATAAATGCATAACACTTACTTAAAAAAAATAATACATACCTGTAACCAATAAATATAATATACATAAATATGGTAATTAAGTTTTACTAAATATTATTCTATTCAAAGGACTCACGTCGTGATTTTCTCCCGCGCCTGCCGCGGTAGTGGTATGGAGACATTTTTTTTAAATCTCACGAGACCGCAGTTTTCTGCAATCCCGGAACCGCCCGCAAACTTGGCGGTTAATTATATTATCGCAAGACGATCGGTTAAACAATCTGTTCCAAACCGGGTGTGCCATTGCGATCGCCCGCCAAACGATCGCAAAGCGCGCGGGTGCTAGCCGTATTAAAATTGACCGATCTAGCTGGACCAAGCCTCCATAAATAATAATCATATGAAAATAAAGACTATTACTGCATTCAACGTTAACCTGTTAACTAAGTAGCACAAATGCGAGTAGTTCAAACTAACTAGTTATCGTTTAACATACCGACAAAGTCTTGCATTACAAATTTATGTTTCATTGATTAAATAAAATCTCACGCAATTCCGAAGTGTTTATTTTTAAGAAAAAAAAAATTGGTTATTTTATAGGTCAGGTGTGTAGCAATACGAGCCGTGGAGGACTTAACGGGTTGCCTGAGCTCCGGCTCGGAGGGCAGGAGCAGGAAAGGGGTGGTTTTTAGTCAGTAAGAGTCTGACACTCGCTCTCGCCTCACCCGGGCAACAGAAGTCATTGAATTATATTCCCCCTCCAACAAGGGTTTATTTTAAACCCCCCATAAAAAGGTAGAATAAATTATGTTTATGACAACTTTACATCAAGATGGAGTGGGCCTGTCATCAAGGGTCTGATGATGTAGAAGTGTAATTGTTAAGGGAACTTTTCAACGGTGTCCAGTAACTACCTCGTGTTTGGGCTTGATTAATTTGCATTGATAATAACTTTACACCGAGATGGAGTGGGACTGTCATCAAGGGTTTGATGGTGAAGAAGTGTAATCGTTAAGGGAACTCTTCAACGGTGTCTAGTAGCTACCTCGTGTTTGGTCTTGATTAATTTGAGCATTGTATTTACATATATACACATCTGTATTCTAACAAGGGCTGCGGGCGCGGCTGATAATCGCCCCGTGAGTCCATTTCTTGCGTCTGTGACGCTGGCGACGCGGACGGTCTGGTGAGCGAGGAGTCGCTAAGTATCACTGGGTGGTATATCATTATTATCCCACGTGTAAGACAAAATTGTTTGGTTACTTTTTTGGCGAGTTTGCGCACGTGGTGGCATGGTCTATATAATAACCGGTTTTATGTTATTTATTACTTTTTTATTTTTATAGGCTCACCCCCTATTACATGGGACTCATAACGTAAATAGTGAAAATTGTGTGTTACATTGTACGGTGGCATTGAGTGCCGCAATGTACACCTCTGCCTACCCGTTCAGGGATAAAAGGCGTGATGTTATGTTATGTTTTGTTTATAACGGGGTTCAGTGGATTCCATTTCCAGGTTTTAAATGTATTTGACGTTACACCTTTATGTCTTATCAACTCACCGAACTTTTAACATGAATTCAGGGATGTTAGTTCCTCGATGTGCTGGTAATATGAACATACCAAGTGAAGTGAGGCATTCGGTGTGGTTCCCCGAACCATCGACAGGGGATAATATACTTCTGACGAAGTTCAGTTCTTGTATGTATTTACAGAAAGCTTCACCGGACTCCTAAAACATAGTAAAAGAAAGTGACTTACGCCCAAATACTGAATAGCTAGATAAAAAATTAAAAAAGGATAATATTTTTTTTATGGGATACGCCGGTGAACAAGCACACGGGATCACCTGATGGTAAGCAATCGGCGTCACCCATGGACACCTGGAACACCAGAGGCGTTACAAGTGCGTTACCGGCCTTTTGGTATTTAGGAATTTGAGGATTATTCGGGATTCAGGGAAAGGGGGGGGGGGGAAGTTGGGCCTCCGGTAACCTAACTCACCCACTAAACACAACGCAAGCGTTGTTTCACGTCGGTCTTCCGTTAGGCCGTGATATGCATGTGTTATAAAATAATAATAATTAGATCGATTAAAATTTCAATATTTTCATTTGTAATTTATTATATAACGTATTTATAGATTTATAATAGAATTACATATTGTATAAGTAATTTACAAAAATATTAGTTGTGGGGCTGTGGCTATAAGTACGGTTGACAAGGTCAGAGCACCATTCTATGTCAGCCTGTTGACTGGTGCGGACCTACTCACTTTTGGAAGTTAAGTTTTGTGTTATGTGATATTAATAAACTAGTAAATAGCTGAATTATATACATTATGTAATGTTATGTATTATGTACTGTGTTATATTAATACAAAATAAATAAAGATGTATTTAATTAGACGTGGGTAGATTTTATTAATTATTAATCTATACATAACTAGTACATAATGTACATAAAATATAATAATAAGTAAGTAAATACTAGTTAATATGATTTTAATTAGTATGAAACCAAATAATTTTGTTTTACATAAATAAATATACATCATCTTCATTTTATTAGTTTTATTTTGATACTCATATTATGGAAGTGTCGCATATAAGTCTTGCCATTATCTATCGTAAGTAATCTTTCTATTTTTGAAGATATCTTAAAATGTTATAACACATGCATGCATGGCTCTCCTACACTTAAACTTAAACTTACTCGATCATAATTGTTATTGTTGACGCCCCCATTCAGTATGTACAGTACGTCGACTCCAATCAGTTCGTTAGTCTTCTTGCAATAGCAGCCAAACATAAGCTTCTTCTCCAAATATGCTTCTATGAAGTTTCTCAAAGATTCCATAGACCTTTCGTCTGATCTGAAATCTATAGGAATATTCCTCAATATAATATCACACCTTTTGTCTCCGGAGGGATAGGCAAAGGTGCACATTACGGCATTTAATGCAACTGTTCAATGTAACACCCACTTTACACTATTTTATGTTATGAGTCCCATGTAATAGGGGGTGAGCCTATTGCCATATACCGGAGACAATTCCTGCTTCCACGCTGGATCTTTTTGTAAAACTCAGCAATTCTTGGCTCGACCCGGGAAATGAACCCCTTGCCCGGCAGTCGCACTTGCGACTACTCGGCCAATGAAGCAGTCCGTAATAATATATTATCATTAACAATCATCAACCCTGCATAATGAGGGAATGGAACACGAGAGAGATGTCGCGCGGTGTACCACAGGGCTCAGTTCTGGGACCAAACCTGTAAGCCACCGGGTACGACCAGGTGCTACACAATGACCTCATGATCGGCGTCTGCACAGTTAGACATAGCAATAGCTTTTTTGTGATCTATTACATTATCTATTTCTTTTGCAAAGACTGACGAAAGCCTAAAAAAAATGTGACGCACTTAACGCCTCTGGTGTTCCAGGTGTCCATGGGTGACGCCGATTGCTTACCATCAGGTGATCCGTCTGCTCGTTGACTGGGTTACCCCATAAAAAATAATCAGAATTAACAATGTCAATTTTGAAAGGTCTTGTTTAATGAAGTCCACGCTGCGAAGCCAGCTTCCAGTACCTGGAGAATTGTGAGTCGTTGGACGAGCTGGCAATAGGTATACATCGTTGGCGTACAATAAAAGTCGAAGTTTTGAGAGAGATAGATTTTGTAATTTTGTATATTAAAATCTAATTAGTATGTCAGTTAGATAATGAAAAACATTAGACATATTTTTATTTGCTCGTATAAAGTTACAATACTGAGATAACACTGAGTTATGTTTAGGAGCGGGAAGGCGTTACGTCACGCACGCTGCCTTATAAAATGTAGTATATTGTGACATCACACGATATTTCAAATCAATACATACATACATAACATCACGCCTTTTATCCCCGAAGGGGTAGGCAGAGGTGTACATTAATGCCACTGTACAATGTAACACCCACTTTTCACTATTTATGTTGAGTCCCATGTAATAGGGGGTGAGCCTATTGCCATATACCAGGCACAATTCCAGACTCCGTGCTACTACTGGGAATTTTTTGAAACAACCAGTAATACTTTGCCCGACCCGGGAATCGAACCCGAGACCCCTTGCCCGGTAGGCGCACTTGCGACCACTCGGCCAATGAGGCAGTCAAATCAATATATCGTCGAAAGTATTTAATTTAGTGACAGAAGAAAAATATGTGTCTAATATTTTAAATTAATCTACCAGACGAATATTAAAATAAAATTTAGGATACAATACTGCCCTATTATGTATAGTCTGACATTACGAGAGCAAGAGTTACGTAAGCTAAGTAGAAAACAACTTACCAAATGGAGCAAAAATGGGATGATCCCAAATAACTGTTTCAATAAGCGAGATGGCTGTATTTATATCTTGGTCCTCCAAATATTTTATCACCTTTCTGTAACAAATTAGCCCACAAATTAGCTGACAGTAGAAACCAATAACTATAGGCCGATCTCTATTTTATCAATGTTGTAATAATGTAAATTTTATAATCTGAAGCATCATCAAATGTTACAAGTAACGCCATCTGGTGTGCGCCTGGGAAGTACTTATTTCATTGAAATTCAGTGCACAACAAATGTTTGCTACCGAGAAAAGGACATAGAATAGTTTTTATTACTTAAATTCCACAAGATCGGGAACTTTGCGTTAAAATTTCGGGATTCTCTATCTTTTAAACCACTGAACCTATTTGAGTGAAATACGGTAAAACAATAGCTTGAGACCTGAGAAACGACGTATCTACCTCTATGATAGTTTTTATCCCCAGGAATGGGAACTACTTACGCGTTAAAACCCCGGGACTTTCGGGACCGGGACATGTGCGATTGTTTATATTTGACAAATCCTGCTAGAAGTCACTATTATACGCGGACGAAGCCGCGGGTAACAACTAGAAGGTTTTTTTTTTTTTTTTAAGGGGGGAAAATCATCGAATGACTGCCCCCGCCTGGGTGAGGCGGGAGGGAGTGTCAGACTCTTACTGACTAAAAACCACCCCGTTCCTTCTCCTGCACGTCGAGCCGGAGCCCCGGTTACCCGTTAGGTTCTCCGCGAC